GATCTTTAATCTGCCTTTCTCATTAATGTCAAGTTCTATGCCTCATTTAACTGGATTTTTTTTCCTTGATTGGGTTGTAGATTGCCATTTCTGTAAACTTTCCCATTGTCTCAAAATAATGTCCTGAAAGATTTTGTAGTTATTTGGGTTACAACCTTACCACAGTGGATTCCTTAGTAGTAGTGATTTTCAAAGTGATTTTATAGCCCACCTATGGAACCACAAGGAAGCTTATTAAAGAACCACAAGGAAGCTTATTAAAACCGTTACGTTCCTAGGCCATATTCCGGATGTCTGGAATAAAAGTCTCTGGGGTGGGGGCCTAGGAATTGGCACTTTTAACAGACACCTCAGGTACTTCTTAGGCTCACTATGTGTTGAAACTCACTTCCCTAGAATGAAGATTTTTGCATTGAAGTGTTTTTGCTGTTCTTTTATTACTTACTAGTTTCCAACGTAAAATGTTCACCCCAAATTTATTATAAAATTGTTTAATTACATTGCTAAACTATTCATTGGATTGAAGGCATACTTTGAAATGTATAAAAGTTATAAAAGAGCAATAAATCCATTTCCCATAACTAATCCATTAGTTTTAATTTCACTTGCTTGGAGGAAAGCCAGCTGTCATTACGAACCTCACTATTGGCAAGCACTGAAGGGATCTATTTTAGTAGCAAGTGAGTAGGAATCAATAGGAAAGTAAAACCAAATCAGGCTATTTTTGGAATAACAAAAGAACTTTTTTGAGAAGAGTGGGAAAAGCAGGCACTAGAAATATATTTGATTGACAGACATATTTTGAGTGGTTTTAAAATGTATGGAGCACCCAATAATACCTGGTCTGATGCTAAATTCTTTATAGGGCACCTCAGGTTCCCTGCCACCTGGGGTCTTAAGTGTGATGTAAACGTTAGTGTCAAGAATAAACTAGAATTAATAAATGGATCTATGCCGCTTATGACAGAACGCAGGAAACCAATGAAGCTAAGTATTGCCACGTATGCCAGAGAGCAGTGCCAAGAAAGGAGCTGAGAGATACGATACTGTACCTTTTTCCTGAATGTTTGGGCAGGGCTCATGGAGAAATTTTTTTTTGGAGTTTCCAGAAGTCATTCGATGGGGAGAAAGAGAGTGTTTGGAAGGCCTAGGAGAGTAGTTTTGGAAGCATAAGGGCTGGACTGTGAGAATCGTGGGTAAGAGCCAGCCGTAGCCACTGGGTGAGGTGTGGATAAAAGGCTTCCCAGGAGGAATTCTTCAGTAGTCCATTCAGAACATAAGCAGGGCCCAGGGCTCGACACTGTCAATGTGCTTATTCGGTGGAGAGAACAGACGGAAGCAGTGCCACAGAGAAGGAACACCCAGACCTGGGCAAACTACTACGTTGAAAGGCTAAAAGAAAAGAACAAAGTGAATGTAACTTAAAGGAATGATCACGTAGAGGGAGTAATTTATATTGATAAACTATATACAATAAGAGACAGTATTAATGACATGTGGAGCTTAGTAAGGCTTAATAACATTCCAAGGATATGTGTTAACAAACAGGGACCTGTGAGCTAACAGGTTGACCCTTTTCACTGCTGGAGAGGCCATAAGTAGATGCCACAGGATAAAGGACAGCAAAGTGTAAGAGGATGCATCTAAGTCATAGGCCAAGGAGGCGTAGAATTTGCCGATGCACAGCAAACGCATTCAGGTGTCTATTGCATCCAGACTTCCCTGAGCAAAAAAAGAATTTTCAGCAGCCCACGGAGTAGCCCACTCACTAAAGCAATATTCTCTGTAACAAACCTTTCCCATAAAATAAACACATGTTGAATAGTCCCTTGACATTTATCATAATTGAATTCAACCCAGAATAACAAAACAGAAAGGACGAGAAAATGGGAATTATGCTTGTAGTGTCAGTATGTGAGCTATCCAGAAATTCACAGCAGTAAACCCATTCAGTTCCAGACTTACGTGATGGAAGATCATCCATAGCGATCACTTTTTTTCCTTCTTCCAAAAGTTTACCTCTGATTCTGAGAACAGGAGGAAGTTTGGTCAATTTCCTTGCTGGTTAGAAGCGCCAGTAAAGGATTCGATTGAGGAAAAGATTAGAAATTAGATGAGGTTTCAGACTTATCTGTGGATTTCATATAACTGAGACTTCTGAGTTTTCCATTAATGATCAAAAGTTGCCTGGTGTTTACGCTTGGAGTTAAGGCAGTTCCGGCTGTCAATTAGAATCATAACTACGAGGAGATTTTCTAAGGGTTTATTCCTAACTTTTTTTCCGTCCTTGCAGGTGGTGCTTGGCACTTTTCATTTAATGTGAAATTTTATCCACCAGACCCCGCCCAGCTATCTGAAGATATCACCAGGTATTTGAAAGTTGGTTTTGGAAAAGGAGAAATATTGGGAGAGTTGTGCTTCTCTTAAATGCTCCAGAGAAGAGCACGCTTACATCTGGTAGCCTTGTAATCATCCATGCTCAAATGGCAAACAAAAGGCAACTGAATGAGAGCAAACATCTGATGAGAAGATTTGCCAAATCGTATCTTTTCGCAGTTGAATCTTTGGTGCCAGGCTGATACTTCCCTCTGCCTGACCCTGGTGGGAAAACATGCAGAATTGAGATACTGTCATCCACCCACCATAGTCAAATTGGATGGGATTCAGCTTTAAATGATACAGCAATTCTTAGTGCTCCTGCTCTAAAACTTGGAGTAAAAATGTCTTTGGATGCTTATGCTTTGTATCACACACATACACAGATACACACATAAACTTAAGAATTTACTTTCTATGCCCTGTGTATACTATTAGGAAAATGATTCATTTGTTTTTCAGAAAGAAGATGTTAAGAGAGGAATCTAACATAAAAATATTCCAGCTTATAGGCCAGGTGTGGTGGCTCACGCCTGTAATCCTAGCACTCTGGGAGGCCGAGGCAGGTGGATCGTTTGAGCTCAGGAGTTCGAGACCAGCCTGAGCAAGAGCGAGACCCCATCTCTACTAAAAATAGAAAGAAAATAAACTGGACAACTAAAAAATATATAGAAAAAATTAGCCGGGCATGGTGGCACATGCCTGTAGTCCCAGCTACTCGGGAGGCTGAGGCAGAAGGATTGCTTGACCCCAGGATTTGAGGTTGCTGTGAGCTAGGCTGATGCCACGGCACTCTAGTCCGGACAACAGAGTGAGACTCTGTCTCAAAAAATAAAATAAAAATAAATTAAAATAAAATAAAAAATATTCCAGCTTGGCGACTGAGCTTTGAGTGTGAAAAGAAATCCCTTTATAAAGCTGTCGTGGGTGTCTTTCTCTGTTTGGGGTACTATAACAAAATAACATAGACTGAGTGGTTTATAAACAATAGAAATTTACTTCCCACAGTTCTGGAGGCTGGAAGTTCGAGATCAGAAGCCAGCATGGTCACATTCTGGCAAGGATCTACTTCCGGTTGCAGACTGCTGACTTCCTGTGTCTTCACAGGGTGTACGGGCAGAAGAGGTCTCTCTTGTGCCTTTTTTATGAGGGCCCTAATCCCATTCATGAGTGCTCCACCCTCATGACCTAATCACCTCCCAAAGACCCCCACTTCCTAATGCCATCACCTTGGGGATAGGATTTCAACAGTGTGAATGGGAATGGGACAGAAGTAGTCAGTCCATTGCTCTTGGTTTGCCTCATCCTTCTAGGCTTCTCTGCATGTCACTTTGGAACCCCTGGCTCTCTTGCTCTGTTTGGTAGTAAGTTCATGACCAAAGTGATTTTTTCCAGTGTGTATGGAATTTCCTGTATAAACTTTATAATTTTTTTGGAGGGCTTTTCAGAAACAGGAAGTTACTCAAAACAGCTTCAACCACTTACTACAATTAAAACTAATTTCAGGCTGGACACGGTGGCTCAGGCCTATAATCCCAGAACTTTGGGAGGCTGAGGTGGAAGAATCGCTTGAAGCCATGAGTTCAAGAACAGCCTGGGCAACACGGCAAGACCCTACAAAAATTTTTTTTAATTAGCCAGGCATGGTGTCTTATGCCTATAGTCCCAGCTACTCGGAAGACTGAGGCCTGAGGAGGAAAGATCACTTGAGTGCAGGAGTTCAAGGCGCCAGTGAGCTGTGATTGC